TAGTAAAAAGATATAAAAAATTATTCAGACACCAGATATAATTTTTTATATCTTTTTACTAGTGCTGTCAAGCGATTAATCGCATCCAAAATAAGTTTTTGTTTACATAATGTGTGCGTAGCCTACTGTGTATATTTATGTATATATAAATACTCACACATGCATGTATATATTTAAGAAAAATATGTTACGTTTATATATTTTAATATATTTATATATGATATAATTTATATGAATATAAATATAAATATATACACGTAAATTCATGTAAATATTTTCAAAATATATGATGTATGTGTGTGTCTTTATATATACATAATAAATATACAGTATACACACATATATTATGTAAACAAAAACTTTTTAGTATCATTTATATTTAAGATGTTTATTATTAGTAGTATCAGTATTATTACCATTATTATTACTGATAAAATGAACATATTAAATATATTACATGGATACATTATAAAATTAATATTATATAAATAAATATAATATTTAATTATAATAATAGTGCTGTCAAACGATTAATCGCGATAAATATATACACGTAAATTCATGTAAATATTTTCAAAATATATGATGTATGTGTGTGTCTTTATATATACATAATAAATATACAGTATACACATATATTATGTAAACAAAAACTTTTATTTTGAATAGGATTAATCGCAATTAATCGTTTGACATAATAATAATAATAATAACAACAATAACTATTATTATGAAGACATAAGATACTATTATTTAAATTAATACAATAATAATGTTAATATTTTTATTATTTATATTTTTTATTATTAGTAATTAGTGGTCGACCGATATTGGTTTTTTGACAGCCGATGCCGATGTCGATATCTTGGAAAGCAGGGTGGCCGATGGCCGATATAAAGCCGATATAATTGTATTTATTTTAATTAATATTTAAAAAATTAGAAATAATTTGAAAATGGATTAAAAAATACATTTGTAAAATAAACATACTTATACTTTAGGTGACAAAGTATTTACCACAAATAAATAAATATTTAATAAAAATATAATTAAAAAGGAAGTAAACTGTAACCAACAGAGCACTCAGTATTCTGGGAAATTTGTGTGCATTGGGAATCATATTTTTTCCAAAAAAGCCAAGGTAACACTCCTTTTACATACAACACACAGTGAAAATGACATGAATATGACAGTGGGCAAATGCATAAAGCTCAGCATAATTTGAAATCACGAATTTAATGTTTAAAGCATTCAATTTGCATGGACCAAACGTCACGCAGAGAACACGCGATCACACAGGCCACATGCACACTTCACAAGATCTCACAACTGGATTCAACTAAGTTTCCAAGAAAATTTTCATTAGTCATTCAAAGATTTGTTTAAATGATGTAAATGCGTATTTGCTGAATGCTGACGGCAAATGAGAAAGTATTATAATGTTTGCCTTTCTATTGCTAATCATTTAAAAGCAATCATTATAACACTTTTTGTATACATTTTAAATCCTTTGTTTAACAGTTCTATCCGATTATTAGACAGACTTCTATCCGTATTAGACAGAACTGTTAACAACGACGGCGAACAAACGGGAGAACGTGAGCACTGTGTGCTCAGGCGCTGCTGCTCTCAGCGCCGTCAAAATAAAAGTCCCACCTCGAACGCATTGGCCAAACAGAAAAACTTATCGGCCAATGCCGATATTTGAAAAATGGCAAATATCGTCCGATATATCGGCCTTGGCGATATATCGGTCGACCACTATTAGTAATATCAATATTATTACTATTATTAATACTGATAAAATAAACATACTATTGAATTTTTAAAAATGAATACAATATTCAATAAATATTATATTTAATACAAATAAAAATAAGTATTATGATTATTATTATTGAATCAATTTAAATCTTATTAAAAACAACAATAATAATATTAAAATACTACTAATATTGTATTTCAAATCTGTATTATTACTTATTAGGTTATGTTATCATCATTAATATTATTTTTCCAGTTTTACATAACAATAGTAATATATCTATGTCTTAATTTATTCATTTTCATAGTCTTTCAGTTTACTGAATTGCACTAGGCCATATCACAAATTCGATTTTATTTTGATCATTTGTGCAGCACCAGTACATATGAATGCTATTTGTGCCATTCTCTCCCTGTAAATACATGACACCATAAAAGCAGTCAAGCCTGACACTCTAAACCATCTGTGGTGTCGCTCTGCCTTGATCCTCTTGACTGACCATGATGAGTGTGTGTGAGTTTGTGTGTGTGTGTGTGTGTGTGTGTGTGTGTGCTCAGATCACTGCAGGCCACGGTCCATCAGACACCACACAGAATTAGAGTCGTCTAATTCACTTAGATGGATCGGTACACCTTCTACACCCTTCTTTACAGCTGGTCTATTTGGAAAACCCTATTACATCACAGATTTAGCAGCGCTCTGATAACTATCTGCTACACGGGCCTCCAGGCACAGTTGTCCT